TATCTGATGTAAGTGAAGAAGAGGAACCTGTTGTTAATGGTTCTCATGAAACTGATGGCTCTAGTACTCATGGTAATAATGCTCTCCCTCGCTATCCTACTCGTCATCGAACGGCTCCTAATAGGGGTCCATTCATTTATTACTGAAGGCGGGACGCCTTTTATTTGGAGGGGAGTTGATGTAATAACTATTATTGAACTTAGTAATTATTATGTATTATGTTTTGGGGTGTGTGACAGGGTGTGGTTGACTAGAGTATGGTTCTAACTATTGTGACTGGTGGTGTGTGTGTTCGATAATCTTTATCATTATCAATCGGATTACAAACGGTCCTTTTAATATTATTATTGGTACAGAGAACCAGTATTACAATAGTTTGTCCTTGCTAAAACTAAAGTTAAAGGGGCTTGGACTCAAGAGACGTAAAAGTGACACAAACCCTTATTGAAATTGAATAAATGATTATTGAACAGTTATATAAGTGATAATATAGACTGCCTTAATACTCAGTTGTCTTCTAAACTATTATCATCAAACTCATCCAGCACCTATAGATGAGGATTAATTGTTATTCATTTATCATAATACAGCACCTGTGCTGCACTAATCTTCGATACTACATCACCATATGCATCACTTTTTAACAAATCAACCTCGTACATTGCAGAATCCTTTCTGAAGCCAATTCCTTTTGTATTAGGAGTCACTATCATTATGATATGACAGCAACTGATCTATGATGAAAAGTGTGATAAAGCTTTACCATTAGAGTGTGTTACCTGCACTGTGCTCTGAACTTTCTTTCCTACTTTACTACTTGTAGCCTTTGATACTCTCTTCTTCACCTTTGCCTGAATTTTACGCCCCCCTCTACTAAATCTAAAAGAATAATAAAATTGTAAAGACAATTTCGCTCAACTAATAATAAAAATAAAAACAAACGTTCAACAATCAAAGAGACCATGATAATAATAATAATAAACAAAGGAAAGCAAACTGAACAACAACAATAATAATAATGAATGCTACCTTCAGCCTCCTCAACATCATCATCTTGGTTAACCAATTCAGTTGCCTTCGCAACAATACTTTCTCCTAAACTAACAATACTGGAAACGATGTCACTTGTACCAGAGCTCTGGCTTGTATTGTGTTGTATGAGCATGATCATCACCTTGACCTTCACCTGCAACCGCCATTTTATAATAGCCACACCTATTATATCACGTGACTCATAATATTTATTGAGCATATCCGGAAGGACATCCGCCCGGGAAGTCTTCCCCCGGGCGGGTTCCGGACAGATACCCGTCCGGGAAACTTACACGGACCGTGAACGGACCTGTTGACGGGTTGACCCTCTCGGCCACCATAGGTAAGGTCTCAAATGTGGACCGGACAGACCCGCCCGGACCAAAAATTTTGTAGACTAAAAAAAATTTGGCAGGCCGCAGCGGACCCGCTTTGCAACAGCTGGCGGGTTTTCATTACAGTTTAATATGATTCCAAGCAGCATTATTCAAGGCTGTGTTGCTCTTCTTGCTAATTTTTCTAGCTTTGATCTCGCCATATTATGATTCTTGGAATTTATTAAAGTGAGATAAGAGTTGAAATTTCACTGATGCATTTAAATGAACTTGACTGCATGAGAGCTGATGGACTTGAAGTGTATAGTAGTTTAGCTTTTTAATGCTAAATGTTTATATTGTAGATGCCCAAATTAAAAAATGGCATTTAAACAATTATTTATACTAATGATTAAAAGAAAAGCATGCATGATTTAATTCTTTGTTCTCATGCAGTTAATAATTATCATTAAATGACTGTGCAGTTTAGTACAAGGAAAGCCTTTGAAACTGACAAATCAAAATGAGTTAGAATATGAATCACAGTTACAATTATTGTTATATTATAATAATAATAATCTTTAATAATTCTTAAATTATTTAATTTTTAAAATTTAATTATTATTATTATTATTATTTAATAATTATTATTATTATTATTTGTGTGTAGATAAAAAAGATTAAAATACTGTTATGTCATTTTCAATAGTGTGTTGTCAA